ATCCTTATCTTCTTCATCTTTAAATGCATCCTTATGTACAACATTATTGCAACCACATGACTAGGTGAAGAAAAAGAATATATAAATTAATATATTTATATACGATTATAATACATTGAGTAGAATAATAAAATATATTATGTAATTACCCTAATAATAAAATTAATTAAAACAAGTAGAGCTCCAACATTATCATTACGATAATCTTCTACCCATTCTGATACTATTGTTTCTAAATCACAATTTGATTTAAGCATATGTTCTAATTTTTATAATTGTAAGTATATATATTTATATACATATAAATATATTTACAAATTAATTATATTATTAATTATTAATATAATATAATTATTATTATTTGACTGGATAGTTAATTGGTTTTGATACTTACGAAATATTATATTATGACTATTTTCATTTAAAGCTTCACGGGAAACTCCATTCTAAAATGATTTAGTTATAAATAAATAATAAATATTTAAAAAAATAAAAGTTCTTTGAGTGTACAAAATAAATAAATAAATATACAAGATCTATTATCTATTACTCTTTTTACCTCTGATAAGGATTCTGTAGTTGACATTTTTTAGAATGCCTTTTATTTATAATTTTATCTACTCATTTATGGAATGAAAAAGTTAGGAGATAGATCTTGGAAAAACAAAGCAACAAACTTGAATTGAGTAATATGAAATTGACATACTTTATAATTATTAAATAATAGTTTCTATTGATTGATATATATATATATACTGTGAGTTGTAAGTAAATGCTGTTTGTTGTGTATATTTATTTTCTTTTATAAATTTTTTTTTAACGGAAATAAAATTAATTGGTGGCTTTGATACGCGTCGCCAAAATGGAGAAAATATAAAGTCAGAAGAATGACTGCTATTTCTATGATAGGTATTTAAACACATTTTTGTACGCGTTTTTAAGGATTTTAATAAAAAAAAATTTTAATAATAATATTTAGCATAGCAAAACAACATACACACACATATACTAAGCATCATACCGTAATAGATAAATAGTTGTGGTAGACTCTTGGAAATAATTTTGGTGCGAAACTTAGTTTATTAGGCTATTTATTAATAGTTATATTTACAAATAAATATGTAATGTTTTCTCCCGCAGGAAAAAGTTCAAACATAATTTTAAATTTTTTTTTGAATTTAATGCTATTTATATATTATTAAAATATTAGGGTTCTTTTAATTTCATCATATTCCCAAATATGGATAACAGTACTACATTAGTTATACTATTTTAGTAATTGTAGCAAACAAAATTAAAGGTGACACATATAATGTAACGACGTGACGATTTTTTCACCCTTATTTTTTATTATTTTTTTTTCTTGGAAAATATCCATTATTATTATTTAAATATTAATTGATGATCCGTCTATGAATTAGTAAACTTGCTGCGGAAATACTAATCCAAAGT